AAAAAAAAAGAAAAAGATTTTGTATCTTATAATACCTTGCTTCAGAAAAGGAGTGGTATGGTTTGTGTACAGGTGTTCCCCAAAGCTTCCTGCAGTCATGGGGTGGCTTCTGGAGTTTGTGATTGATCCTTGTTGGTGTTAATGCTGCACCTACCCCAAGGCAGGTAATTTGCTTTTCAGTGTAAGGAGGGGACAGAAGTTAGCTGCTTGAAGGGCTGCTCCTCCTCCTTTTGCTCTCTGGTCTTTGTCACCACTATGAAAGGTTGCCCTCTGCCGTGTGCCACTTTGCCTGGGAGCCAGCTGAGCACGGACTGAAACCTCCAGTAACCAAGAGCTAAATAAACCTTTCCTTCCTTCATTTTGGGTTTTGGGTATTTGTCCCAGCAATGAAAGAATAACCGAGACAAGTAGTTTTTAGCTTTACAAATAAAATTTGCATTTTATAGTCATAGTACTATGATTGTATTCAAGGTCCCTTACAATTCTTCCATGCTAGAATGCCTAATTAAATAATTTCTACTTTGGAGGGAAAAACAAACAATAGTACTTGATACTATCATTGCCACATCCACTATTCAATATTGTCTCAAAATGACGAGATTTAGAAGTTGTATTACTTAGGTATGCCCTCTGAGTACTATTTTGTAAAAGGCAGAATATGCATGTATAAAATGGCAATTATTAAAAAGTCATAAATTATTAGCAAGAAATACAGCCTTTACTTTACAATAGAATTTTCATCTTTATAGGTTTCCATTTTGAACAGTTACATCATAGTTTATCTAACTTTAAACTAAATGTGTAAATATAAAGAATAAACCATGATAAATTACCACATATTCTTTTCAACATATACACCTAAAAGGAAATGATGGCACCACTAGTCACTATTCCCTTATAAACCAATGCTTCCCCTTACTACATACTCTTCATTTATACTGTTCATAAGATTTAAACTATTCCTCTATTTTTCCTGACCCTTGATTACATTTTCTCCTATCCAGTCAACTATACTACTTTGCTCATTTTTTCTTCAAATATATTTCTGTTCAGTTCCTTTCTTATACTCATCACATTTTTTACGTTTTATTGTCATTAATTTTTAAATCTTTATGGTACTTGGTTCATTTTACATAGGTGTAATATCATGAGATTACTTTTTACAGAGTAGAACTATGTATTACCTATGCTTGTATTTTCCATGTATAGTATGGTTTATGGCCATATGGTTTATGCCCCCTTTTTTCCCTTCTAAAGATCATTAATCAGTTTGAGATAGGTAATTTTTAATGACCATAAATCCATACTTCTTAATCTTGGCTTTTTATTAGAATCTACAGAGGAGTTCTAAAGACATACCAATACTTTGGTTCATTTCAAGAGTTTTCAGATTGGAATTTCTGAGAGGGAGTGGAGTGGCACTGGTTCTTTAAAGCACCCCCCAAAATTTAATGAACAGCCAGAGTTGAGATTTACTTACACATCTAGGATAGGAACATTACAGCCTCCAGGTAGCTGCTTATTTCTATAAAGAAAGTTTACTGGCACACAGCCATACTTACTCATTTAGATATCACACACAGTCACCTTCATGCTACAAAGGCAAAGCTGAATAGCTGTAATGGAGATCATATGGCATGCAAAGCCTGAAGCATTTCCAATTTATTCATTTACAGAAATAGTTTGTTGACCTCTGCTATAGAAGAAAAATAATTGTTATTTATCAAAAGGTATAGAAGAAAAGATTCTATTGTCAATCAGTAAAACTTTCAAATACTAAAAGGCATATTTTAAATACATTGTCATGAATATTGTAATTAAAATTATATATTTTA